ACAATTCCATTTATAATCATGTATGATTATATATGATTATATATAATTATATATAATCTTGCTTGGCTGTATATTGTTCTATATATAGTCATATATAATTATATATGATTATAAATAACCTCATATACAATTTCATATATAATCATGTATGATTATATATATTATATATGATTATATATAATCTTGCTTGGCTGTACATTGCTCTATATATAGTCATATATAATTATATATGATTATATATAACCTAATATACAATTCCATATATAATCATGTATGATTATATATAATTTTATATACTTATATATATTTGTATATGGAACTATATATAATCCTGCATGGTTGTATATCGCTTCATATATAGTCATATATAATTATATATGATTATATATAACCTCATACACAATTCCATATATAATCATGTATGATTATATATAATTATATATGATTATATATAATTCTATATAATTATATATGTGATTCCATATATAGTCATATATGATCATATACAATTATATATGATTATATAGAAACATTTTTTCTCGGGTTATTTTAAATTTCAAGCCTTCCAAATAATAACCAAACTTTTTATTTCCAGATATAGAAACAGAGTTCTCGTTAAATAAGAAATTGCGTAATGCCAACCGAAACCATTCGTCGAAATTAGATGATAATCCTCGGAAACCACTGCCAAAAATATTAATCAAGCGACCATCACTACCAGAACCGAACAAACAACTTAATGAGAAACAGATGAAACTGGATGACGCTGCTCAGTCATCTGGCACTATTGTTACCGACGCTAATGCAGAGCCTGGATCTTCAAGACAGGAACAATCGATTATAGCCCAGGACAACCAAACAATGGAATCTGCTCAGACAGGAACAACTGCTAGTGATTCTAACGGTACATTGAGCTCCTCTCAGCGGAAAGATGAAAACCTCCAAGAATCATTACCAATACAAGAGCAACAAGAATTGAGTAGGTCGTACATAAATGTAGCAACACCAGATACACCAACCTTTGTTATAGACGACAATGAAGAAGTCCAACCTACCAGTATTGAGGAACAGCAAGTACCTTCTTATCAAGCTATCTCACAATTTACGAAACAGTCGAAACCCGTCCAACAACCTCGAATTGTGGCGGCCCCATCAATAGAGATGACTCAAAAACCGGTTGAAAAGCGAATACGACTAATGAATATTAAAAGGAATTTGGAAATTGCCGCACAGAACCAATCAAACTTAATGGATCGAAGTCGAACGTTATTGACGCGCTCAGTGGAAGAACAATCATCCGCAACCACTCAAAATCAATCACAAGATGGTACTCAATTACAAGAAATGCGCAGCGGAAATAGTAGAAAATCGACAGCTCTGCTCCGTAGCATGGCGATTAGCTCTCAAGAAATTAATGATGTACCTAGAATTAATCTAAATAACACTCAAAACGTAAATACTGTCGATCCACGGAATATTGTTCAGAGTTTCACCAAGGTTGCATCAGCTTCACAAAGTAGTCTAAGCTCATCCCTTCAGCGCCCTAGCTATGGTCGACAATTAGATGGACAGCAAAGCTTGCTAAATCAACAACAGTCTCTCACGCAATCTTATCAGAATCAATGTATACCGACTAATGGAAATAACTTTGAACAAGACCTACTTAGGAAATCTGCAGAGCGTAACAATTACGAACAGCGACCTAACTCTCGGCCTATCAGAATGAGTACTCCATCTATCGGACAAAATTCAATTATCCCTTCCAGTCCGTTGTATCAGACCTCCAAGCTTCCACAACAGAGACAGTCGCACCCATCTCAGCAAGACTCACAACGGCAACCACAGAAACCGAAAATACGTATTGGCACCTCTACCAAGCCACAAAACAACCGGCAAACACCTACTTTTCAAGTCACAAAAGAAACGCTGTCACCTATTCTTACGAAGGTTCTAAATTCGGTACGACAAGCACTATCAACTACTCATAACCAATATCTTCAGAACGAGCGGCAATTTCAGGGAAATCATAGTAAACGTGCACCTGTTAATGAAAATCATCTGAGCCAAATTGACAATACATTGCAAACAGATGAGTGGATGGAAGAAGAAACTCCGTCAGCGCATTATGGGGCAAATTCAGATTCCGATACTGTTACTGATCATGAAGTCACTTCAGATCAGGAGATGTCTGCAGATGAAGCACCTGTTGAAAGAACGAATAACTTTTACGGCCCTGGAATCAGTTCTGGAAGTAGCTCTGCAGACAGACCGATAGCTGCACAAAACTCTACGATCCACCAGACGCATTCTAAAGTTATATTGGAGCAGCAAATGTTAGATAACTTTGCTACACTCTTAACTCAAATGGGATCTACTTTGCGTTATACTACTGATATGTACAACACCCTACGAAGTTCAATCCTCGATACTGCCCAAACATATAAAAAATTATTGGGTGCAGTCGAAGAATTCAACTCAGTGCAAAAATTAGCCAGCAATTCATCTTCTTCAAGCAACCGAACAGAAGAAGTCTCACAGTTGTCTGAAGAAAGACACATTGAAGTAGCAGCGAGTACTAGTTCTAGTACTCAGAATCAACATAGTCGTGGTGATGCTAACAGAACGCCGAAAATAAAATACAACTCATGGCGTCTTGTTCTACCACCGGAATATGATCCTCGTGATACCAGATGGACATTGAAGTATCGAACAAATCTGCCAGGACTCGTAGAACTTACGCCTCAAAGTGGTGTTTACGTCAGCTACGGAGACCTCAAATACTGTCAGCAAGTATCAAAAGATTGCCAATCATTAGCGAAGCGATTATTATCAGCAGTATTTAACAGAAAAGCACTAAGTGTTTGTTTCTCAATGACTGAGAAAGCGCAGGCACCTGATAATGTTGTATCTAATATAAGGCCAGAATTAGATGATAATGCGTGTACGGTACTGTTAAATTTCGTTTTAGAGCACGGACTCCAACGTGGTTGGAATACTGATCTACAACCTATCCTCAGTACTTTACATTGTAAGATTCAAGAGATTCGGTTCAAATACGGTGTAGTGGTTCAATGCTAACTATTGTGATTATGACTCATTAGTCATAAGTCAAGTTCTCTTATGTTTTCAATTACTGAGGCTGAAAATCTTGCCATCTATTTATTGAAATTTAGTTATATTGTCAATCATTTTAATAAATCTTCGATCATAGTAACTAATTGTATTTCAGCTATATTCCGTCCAATCGTTTTAAGATATAGCTTCTAGAGCACTAGATAAAAGGGAGGTACAAACGTTATAGTGAACTAGTATTTTACTGCACGGTGTTTCTTTCCTAGTATAATTAGTATTGAAATTTGTATTGTATACTTGTATTATTTATTATAGCAAAATTTATTACTATCTATCAGGTTGATGATAGTATTAGTCGAATTCTTTAGAAGTTTTATGTGTATTAATTATTATTCTAAAGACTGTAGTTAAAATATTATAAAAGTATTAGGAGTGCAGCTACATGTATTATCAGTTTTAGAAATAATTGTTAATAAATTTTGTTTTTTTATTCATTGCAATTGTTTTGGTTTTATTCATAATATGCGTCAGTTCCTTACACCGCTTTGGAAAGCTACCATGATTTATCTATACTGACAATACGTTTACTTGTCTTGTCCTCTGAATCAGCGCAAAATCACTGCTGTTACTCAGAAAAGCCAGTTAATAAACGCTTATTTGTCACCTACGACTTACCAATACCTATTCTAACAGGCTATCGCAGTCGTGACTTATGCTCAGATTGATGAACTGATAATAAGTATCAACTTATTCTCATAGGTAATAAAGGCACATAAATAGCGCTACTACCCCAATTACTTGGTGAAAAAGTAATCAACAACATACGTTACGAAGTACGTGCGTTATGTGACTAATTAGCATTTTGTGGTTAGAACGCGATAAATATAGTGATGAGTCATTTTAACAGGAAAAACATGTTTTGATTTATGGTTAATGATAATTTAGTATGTTTTCCGGTTGGATGTTTTGAAATTCTAAAGTAAATAATACACTGTTAACTTTTCAATTCGATTGAATTTAATAGTTGATCTGATTAAGATCTCAATACGGTTAATATTAATGTTAATTATTAATCAAAGTCATAATCAAGTAGCTTTTCAAATTCCAGATCAAATCGATTAGTTCACGTTAAACATCACAACAAATGTACGAAAGCAAATTTATGTCAAGTTAAATGTCACCCTGATTAATAATTTTATTCAAATCTTTCAATTTTCTTGCATCAATTAAAACAATCTTATTATTTATCATTTTTATTTTGTTTTATTATTTCATTTTTAATTAAAAAATAAACGTATCTTTCATACACTTGTACTAGCATTACCAAAAAAATTTTCTTGTAGAAGGCATTTGGTTATTTTTCCAATTCTAAAGTTTGATAAACAATTGGAAAAGCTATTAGAACTTGGCATATATGATCACATTAGATACCTTTAAGCTATCATCTAGACACTATTAGCTCTTCGTTTAAATTCACTAGAAGTAATTTTCATACTACATCTCGATTATTCAGTTGGTGGAGAGGTTATCCTGCGCGTGACTATGTGTGATGAAGAGCAGGGGATAAAACGTGATTGGATTCAAGGTTATTCTATCACAACGTCATCAATTCTCTAAGTTCAATATGGCGCTGTAGGAATTTAAACGATTCTATCATGGGATATTTCTTGTGTGTATCCTAAAAGTTCGATTCAACGAATTTACTGTTGAACAGGAACAAGTTACCTAATCAGTGCTATCGTTTTATCACTTTCACATTGAAAAACAATGCGGTAAGGGCAACTCATAGTTTGTTCTAAAAAAACCAAAATTCTTCACATCATAATTCTTGGAATTCAATAGTACCTACTCACATTTAATTAGAACACGTATAACCCGAACATACTTTATCGGTTACCATGAACTTTGTCGCCAACCGGACGTGTGACAGTGACGTAGTCGTTCAAAAGCGATTACACACCCTATATAAAGCTCAACAACCAAAACAGCTCACAAAGTTGTTAGCTGACAGCCGTCCAAGCTTGACAGTTATTCTAAAAAAAAAATATTATTCAAGAAAAATGAATAATTTCATTTATTTAATGCTTTTACCCGTAGTGCTGGGTGCAAGGATGTCGATTGAGGGGAGAAATCGACTCTCAATCGGACATGGCAAATCGTACACATTCCATTCAACTCCAACAACCTTCGATGAAGCTAAGAGTATATGCAAACAAGAGGGTGGAAGTCTTGCTGTCGTAACCTCCAAGTTTGAAGAGGATGTAAGTATTAATAATTTTTAGTAGGGGAGGGGGGGAGGGGTAGGTTTAACTTTACACAAGGTTCAATGTACTTGAGTTCACAGGAAACAACCTTCTATTCAGAATTCCCTGTTTCAGCGGAATTTTTTTATCTCTGGTAAAATTCATCAGTAACCGAGCTACCTGGGGTTCCAAAATACCTTGGCGTGATTCTGGGTAATGAATTAATTGTGTCTAAAGCATGATCTATAAACGAATGATTTTATACTTGATGGAGTATTCTAATAGCTTTTCAAATTATGGATTTAAAACCACTACGGTAAATTTTTAAGCTTGCTTTACGTTTGCACTAAAATATTTTTTTTTTACCACTCACACATTTTTTGTAGACAATTTGAAAAGCTATTAGAGTATTCAATAAATTAGTGAATAAAATACTTTTAATGTTACTCTAGATATCATTTAATTCATCATTAAAAATCATTTATACTGAAATATTTTCTTCAGTAACTTAATTCAGGGCCACTTAAAGTCAGCTCTGTCTAAAGTTTCTTCCTCGGTACAGGACCGTTGTCTAAAATTACTCCTTTCTCTGATACCGACCGTACATACGTCTTTACTGATGCGCATTCTGGATGCGCAATGGAAATCATGAATTTTCTTATACATTCGGAATGTGCGCTAGTAGTCTAGTGTGCAAAAACTATTGTGTGCACATAAACTGTAGTCCAGTGTGCATAAACTGTAGTCCAGTATGCATAAACTGTAGTCCAGTGAGCATAAACTGTAGTCCAGTGTGTCAAAAACTATCGCGTAAATTCAGTGTGTGTAGTATACATAACCTATAAACAGTGACATAACCTTTAAAAGTGTACATAACCTATAAACAGTGTATATAACCTATAAACAGTGTACATAACCTTAAAAAGTGTACATAACCTACAATATTGTGTAAATAGACAGTAGTGAAGTGTTTATCTTCCCAAAATGGCGCAACATAACCTTATCGAGGCTTTCAAAAACTTGGTAGACACTATTGCCGTCTCATATGCTGATCTGTTGGGAGAGCAGCTCACTGATGAACATCGTCAAAGTTGTTTAAGAGTGTGTGAGGAGACCATTGAATACTTCAACTCAATATTACTGGATCCTGGAACAACAATTCAAGTGAGAAGAAGTGTTCAAGCGCACATCAACCAACTCAACTGGTTTGCCGATCAGTTCTCCAGACTCGGTAATCAAGTTGTTGGTGGAGATCTCAACCAAGGAGTCAAATGGAAGGACTTGGAGAATGCTTTTGCTGGTAACATCCAGACTGGATGTGTCATCAACCAACGTCACAAAGATCCAGCATCATTTCTCCAGGCCTCACGGGACATCATCATCAACAAGGTACAGAGTGTCTTGAGAGATCTGGCAGGGTTGAAAGTGAATGTTGAACTCTTTTGCACATTCCGGAAACAAGAAGATGTAGAAGAGCGAAAGTCTTTCATCACCAAAAGCCGTGAGATTCTCCCTGCCACATCTCTTCAGGATTAGTTTAGTCAACATGTCTACGATAAATTACTTCAAAGAATTGAAGATTTTGAGCATGAGGGCTCCGGATGGAGTCTACTTGGACCCAACAGCTTGATGGTGACCATGTCACGATTCATACCAACCCAAGTTGGAAACTCCACCTTCGTCAGATTACCAAGGGATATTATCAGGAAGAATGCGGTTACGAACATCCAAAACAATGACGAGTTCTGCTTCCTGTGGTGTGTCAACGCCGCCTTGCATCCATCAGTATTGGTTCCGGAAAGCCCTACAAGATATCATCACTTCAGCGAAAGATTGAACTATGAAGGTATTCAATTTCCAATTAAGCTTAATGACATCCCAAAATTTGAAAAAATGAATGATCTTAGCATTAATGTATATGGTATAGAGTCAGAATTCACGGGTAAAAGTCTGAGAAAAGTACTATCATACCATTATATTTAAGTAACTTCGAGTCAGAAATACCGACAATTCATTTATTGATGATTAAAAAAAGTGTAAATTATACTGATAATTTAGATAATATTGAGTCAGTCTATCACTTTGCATGGATACATGATCTTTCTGCATTAATTAGAAGTCAAATATCTCTAGGTAAACATAAATTGTACTTTTGTGATCGTTGTTTGAATCATTTCAAATTAGAAAAATGTTATGAAGAGCACAGAGTAGATTGTTTCAAATCTAACAAAGTTCGTATGGAGTTTCCTAATGAAAAAAATAAGATTTTGAAATTCAAAGATTTTAAGTCCAAAGATACTGTACCGTTTGTTGTTTACGCGGATCTAGAATGCATACTCGAACCCTCGGGAGACGATGAAAAACCAGCTCATAAACATGTTCCACACAGTATTGCTTATTATGTATATTGCAGCTATGATAATACACTCTCTAAATTTGAATTAAACCGTTCTCCTGATTGCATCAATTGGTTCGTTAAACAATTAGAATAGTTAGCTCTAGACTTTGAAAACATTTTAAAGAACCCTATTAAAATGAAACCCTTAACGAAAGAGCAACAAGATAGACACAACCAGGCAACTGAGTGTCACATCTGTGAAAAGCCTATAACATCTCCTACAGATAAAGTTTATGATCATTGTCACTTTACGGGTAACTACAGAGATGCTGCACATAAATCCTGTAACGTTAATTATCAAAAATCTACCATTATCCCAGTTGTCTTTCATAATTTATCCGGCTATGACTCCCACTTCATAATTAAGTCCTTAGCTACAGTATTTGAAGGTGAAATTTCATTACTACCGATCAATAAAGAACGTTACATTTCTTTCACAAAATTAGTTAAAAATACTTCAGTCTCTTTAAGATTTATTGACTCTTTTAGATTTATGGCTTCCGGTTTATAGAAATTAACTTCATACCTTGATGACAAAGACAAACAGATTACGCGACTCCACTACCCTGACCCTGATAAATTTAAATTAGCAATACGTAAGGGTGTATTCCCGTATGAGTACATTGACAGTATTGACAGACTAGACGAGACACAGTTACCTGACCAGGATTCATTTTATTCAAAATTAACTAATTCTACCATTTCCGATGACGATTATGCTTTTGCTCAAGTAGTCTGGAACGAGTTTAAAATCAATACGCTTGGAGAGTACTCGGACTTATACTTAAAGACTGATGTCCTTCTCTTGACTGATGTCTTTGAAAACTTTAGACGTAGTTGTTTCAAGACATACAATTTAGACGCACTACACTTTTATACAGCACCAGGTCTTTCGAACGCTGCAATGTTAAAGCATACTGAAGTAGAACTTGAACTGTTAACTGATCCTGAGATGCTTCTTTTCATTGAAAAGGGTGTTCGCGGTGGGGTATCGATGTGTGCTAATAGACATGCTGAAGCTAACAACCGGTATATGGGCAAAGATTTTGATTCAAACAACCCCGAAACATACCTGATGTACTATGATGTAAATAATTTGTATGGCGCAGCGATGAGTATGTCTTTACCAAAGGGTAAATTTGAATGGGTTGAAAATGTAGATGATGTAGATCAGTTTTTCAATGATGATGAGAGTGTAGGCTACATCCTTGAAGTAGATCTACACTATCCTGAGAAATTACATGATCTACACAAAGATCTACCTTTATGCCCAGAACATTTTGTACCACCTGGTGGCAAGCAACAAAAACTCACGACAACTCTGTACGATAAAAATAATTATGTTATTCACTATAAAAATTTGAAACAATGTTTAGATTTAGGTTTAGTTCTTAAGAAAATACACCTAGTCTTGAAATTTGAGCAATCAGACTGGCTCAAATCATATATCGATAAAAATACCGCATGCCGAAAACTAGCTAAGAATGAGTTCGAAAAAAACTTTTATAAATTAATGAATAATGCGGTTTTTGGAAAGACGATGGAGAATGTACGAAAATATAAAGATATATATTTAAGAACAAAGTGGCAAAGTCAATACAATGTATCGGATTTAGTATGTAGACCAAACTTCCACAGCCTTACAATTTTTGATGAGGATATGGTTATAGTTGAACTTAAAAAAGCTAGAGTTTGCTTCAACAAGCCGATCTATGTAGGGTTTAGTATATTAGATTTATCTAAAATTTATATTTATGACTTTCATTACAATTATGTTATGCAAAATTATGTAAATACCTCAAAATTATTGTACACTGACACAGATAGTCTAATTTACCAATTTAATGTACCCAACATCTATGAAGACATCAAACGTGATATTTCAAGGTTTGATACCTCCAATTACCCGCCTAACAATGTCTTCAACATTGATGCGGACTTTGTCTCCAACTTTTCTTGCTGATGCGGACTTTGTCTCCAACTTTAAACTTCTGCTTCTGCTTCGATTTGGTTTTCAGCGGTTGATAAATATTTTCCAATAGTTGTTTCTCCTGAGGAGCGGTAACATCAGCAGGTTTCATTTTGATGGTACTGTGTATGGTGCTGTTGTAAGTATTCACCAAGTCATCAAGTGTATCGGCCCACTTGTAGCTGCCGCGATTTGTAAACTCTCGCCACATTTTCGTCTTAAGTGTTCTATTGAAACGTTCACATATGGATGCTTTGAGATTGCTGAATGTTGAATACAGATTTATCTTGTGCTGCTTCATCAGATCTTTGAATTCTTTGTTGTAAAACTCTTTACCCTGATCAACATGGAGATTCTTAGGGATACGACCTTGCTGAAGTACAGACTTCATAGCACTTGTGACATCTACACCACTTTTAGACTTAATTGGAACTGCCCAGGCATATTTTGAAAATATATCTATGATTGTAAGCAGATACTTGTATCCTTTATTGACTGTTGCATATGGAATCATCTCAACCAAGTCAGCTTGCCAAGTCTCATCGAGACCTCGGATATCAACATGACGACGTTTATAGTTTCTACGAGCTGGTTTGTGAAGCTCTTCAGCTATCACTGGCTTTTTGTCGTTCATTAAGTTTCACAGTGAGATATTTGATATTATTCTGGTGAGATGAAAGTATTGCTTTAGCTTCCTCAGTAGCTGTCTGCAAATTTGTCACAGCAGCTTTCAATATTACTATTTCAGAGTGCAAATGTGAAATAATCTCTTTCTATTCACTGTCTATGCTTTTATTCAAGTCAGACATCTGTCTCAGTACAAATTGCACTGTCGCTGCATCATGTTCATTTGAAGGATTACCGAGATTGCACAGCCTTTTACTCTCAATGTTATAGTTTCCATCAGAAGTTATATTAAAAATGATTTTATACTTGATGGATTATTCTAATAGCTTTTCAAATTATGGATTTAAAACCACTACGGTAAATTTTTAAGCTTGCTTTACGTTTGCACTAAAATATTTTTTTTTTACCACTCACACATTTTTTGTGGACAATTTGAAAAGCTATTAGAGTATTCAATAAATTAGTGAATAAAATGCTTTTAATGTTACTCTAGATATCATTTAATTCATCATTAAAAATCATTTATACTGAAATATTTTCTTCAGTAACTTAATTCAGGGCCACTTAAAGTCAGCTCTGTCTAAAGTTTCTTCCTCGGTACAGGACCGTTGTCTAAAATTTCTCTGATACCGACCGTACATACTTCTTTACTGATGCGCATTCTGGATGCGCAATGGAAATCATGAATTTTCTTATACTTTCGGAATGTGCGCTAAGTCTCTCGATTTTCATACTTTATCCAAGATTTAGAGTAGGAGAATACTTTAGCAACCTTTAACAACGTTATCTTAGAAACTTTAGACAGAGTCATCTGTAATTATTTAATTTTTCTGAGTCTCAGTCCTTTATAAGATAAAGTAATCGTTTAGCCATGATAGTGGATATATTCATCTGCTTCTACCATTTTGAAATCTCCGTAATTACAAAACAGACTGTAACTCTACTGCTTTAACTGTGACAGAAAAGTTGCTACTTATTTTCCGACTCCTCCCATAGTTTCCGGGCTTGGTACCATAGCCTTGAATATATTGGAGCCCTACTATGTGAAAATATTTGGTAAAATCAAAGAAAGTAGTACGATTCTTAACGATTTATTTAAAATATAAATAACATCACCATCAGCCAAAATTATACGCTACACCTAAAAATTAAACAATTTTTACAATCATCTAGAAAGTATTCACTACTATCGAATTGATGGTAAAAATTTTTACCATATCTAGATAGTATTAATTATAGTATTATAACTAGAATAGTATCTGCTATTCTTTAATATTCTCCGTGGAAGATTCGCTGGTCGTTAAGTCTTTGTTTTCTTGTATATCTGTTATAGATCCAAAAATATTTTTATTGGCTCTAGACTTTTCGTACGAATTATTATCTTGACGAGTATCAGATCCATGGTCAACTGTACCGTCTTGACTATTATCGAATGTATTGTTATATGCGACAGTCCTAGATCCGTGATACACAATACCATTTACATCATACCGATGATCGTTATTATTTTGATTGGTACGAGAACCATAGTTTATCTCTCCCGATTCACTGTTCTCGTAGGTATTATTGAGTTGGTTGGTTGAGGATCCGAGAGAAACATCCCCATTTACATATTCCGTATAAAGATTTCCAGCTTGGTTGGTCAAAGCCCCATGATTGATTTTGCCTTCCACAGTACCCAGATGAGTGTTATTAATCTGCGAGGTTGTCGATCCGTGACTGACGTTTCCGGTTATCGTGCCTAGATAAGCATTGCCAGTTTGGTTTGTCGAAAGTCCGATATTGATTATGCCGGTTAGATATCCGTTGTAGGTATTATTACTTTGACGAGTTGTAGCTCCGAAACTGACTTCACCGACAACGTTGGTGTTATAATGGTTGTTATGTTGCTGAACGTCAGGTCCATATTGAACTTCACCGTCTATATTGGCTGTGTAGTTATTACCACTTTGGATTGTATTTAATCCATATTGGACATCGCGAGTTACGTCACCGCTGTACTTATTGTTGGTCTGGTGAAGTATATCACCGAAATGGACTTTTCCTTTGTAATTGCCGCTATACGTGTTTTCAGCTTGGATTGATACTACTCCATGAATGTCACCTTGAAGTTTGTAGACTTGTTCAATTTCTTCTGAAATCTCATCTAACTCTCTGAGTATCTCATCATAATCGTTGTCAATCGGGATCGCGTAGATACCTGAAAAGGAAACAATACGATTTTAGAAAACGTGACATATATACTATCTAGTGGTACTGTTCGGATGTACTGAACTTATCTTGAATCTAAATTAGAAGGATAAATTATGTCAGTACGTACATGGGACGCCAAAGACGGCAAACAAAATGACAACTGAGTTGAGCAACATGTCGACTTGATTTTCTGATTACAACTGAATTAAAACAATTCGTAGTGCTCATTATATAGAAATAATTTGTGGTTTATCACGTATGTAAATGATTTATTATATATACGTCATCAGAAAAAATCGTTAGGGTCAAATTGGAACGCAAATAAATTAATGCTAATTAGCTTGTTTGTGAAGTCGGTTACAATTAATGGGATCAACATGTTGATAGCAAAAAGGTTAATACCTATTCCGAGCATTCATTTATGACATCATCGCTTATTCGGAATTAACTATGGAAATTGTATTTGGAGCACGGTTCCGTTCTAAACAAGTATACTTAATGATTTATCGCAAACTATTGGGTTTTTTTAAGGGACGCTAGTTCAGTAGAAACTTTTTGATATGAAGAGTTCCAGTAGGGTCCAATACTGTCTTCAAGTCAAAATCAATTCATAATATGGAGTTCAACTATTTGAGACACCGTGGATTTTATAACTTCAAAATCATTGTTATTTTCAACGGATGATTGAGTAAACTGATATCACACGTATATGAATTGCTGATCTGTACTGAGAGATTAAACGATATTTTATCTTCAACCTTGAAGTTTCAGACCATTGAGGAAAAAAAAAGAAAGTCAACATTAGTAGACAACATCTTCTTTATTTTATACTTATATAGTATAATACTAATTGATAAATCAGATCATGAATAGTTAATCTAACAAATAAAAGTTATAAAAATTACTTTGAAAGGACGTACACAACAAAATCTTGAGTTATTTTCTTGAACTTTCTTTCAGAATGAACTAAAAGACGTTTTCTTTTTTTGGCAGCATCTAACTCCTCAGTAGTGACTTTTGATTTCAATTTAAATTTTACGTTCTACCGCTCATTATATACCATAAGTTATTATTCATTAAATCTGAAATATCCTATAAAACATAAATTAATCTTAAATTTTGGAGAGGCCTTATCTAACCATTAATAATGTTTCCTGAAACTAGTCAATAAAAGAGAGAAAAATACGCATAACTTAAAGTTATCTGAAGGTCTCCTTGTGGTTTAGGTCGTAAAAATTTAATAGTCAGGCTAATTAAGATACTTGCCGCTATCCATAAATACATAAATGGCTTATCAGGAATAACCCTACCGACCTGTGATAACAAGCGCTATGACTGTTCAATTAATTACAAGGAAAAACTATAGGACTGATAATGGCTCCTATCTGTTTCCTGTTGGATGACTGAGCATGAGACTGACTACAGGATCGACGTCATGATCTCCACGTGTAAGTTATGTATTCAGAGTTATTCTGTACTCGTGTACTTGGTAGCTTGCAACAAATTGTGTGATCAATTGAAGAGACTGTAGTATCACTTTGAAATGGATTCTCATTGGATTTTAAGCTTCAAAGGGTAAACTGAATAAAAAAAAGGAATAAGTAAAATAATTTAGTATATTTCTCGTGTAAAACCGTACATTTATATAACAATACTGATTAATCTTAAAATTACGTTAGAAACTAAAAACTACAAAGAAAGCTGTCATTAAATTAGAATATTCAATCACAAAAGCGTCTTCAAGGCATCGGCGATCTAGCACCTTCGTAAGCTCTCCCAACGTGTTTTGGATCGGTTGGCGTTCGTCGTCACAATTTGCCTCGAGCGCGCTATCCAATGTCGCACTCGATCATGCTTAGAACACTGATTTGGGATAGTGTTGCATATGATTTTGCGATTATGGTTGATCTCTTTCAGTGCTCTTAACTGAGCAATTTGTGTCTCAACTTCAAGGTACAAGCTATTGATTTCATCCAGTCGCTCTGAATTCACCATGCCATTGGCGCATCGCTTGGAAGATGGTTGGTCAGTCTTGAGGTTATTGAAAATAATTGTTTTCATTTCTTCATGCTCTTTTATCTTCATACCTAATCGAACATGAGCACCAATCAAAACGGGATGATGTTGAGACGGTGAATGATCATGACCACTTGGTTTGACGTCAGCTTCGAGCACGCTATTGTTCTTGATATTGTCATGGTAAGTGTTATTGGATTGAATGATTATTGGATCGTAGATATCGTTCTTCCCACGATTGTGATCATAAGAGTTTCCAGCTCGCGAGACGCTAGCTCCATATTGAGCGTTTTCATTCTTTCCCCGATATGTATTGTTCTCCTGTACAAGAATAGGCCCGTACACGTTTGTTGCATCAGGATCGCCAGAGTAAGAATTACCAATTTGTACGTCTTGAGATCCATAAACGGTGCCTTTTCCATCATTTGCGCCGTAAACGTTGTTTCTTTGATAGGTTCGGGAACCAAAATAATTTATTGGTCCTTTCCTTGTTTCATTAGGGGCATCTAAATTAAGTAGGCTATCCAAGTGTTCAGACAGTTTATGATTCAAGCGACTGAAGTTCAGGTTGTCCAAAAATGGGGCTGCTCTAACTGAAACGTCTTGTAGCCCTAGAACAAAACACGATAATAATTAATGATCTATCACACATAAGAACGTAAATATACAGTTTTATTGATAAATCAAAATAAGAAACCGGATAGAGCCAGATCAAGCTTGTTACTTACATAAAAACTCAAAGGCTGCGATCAGCAGAGTTATGATAGTATTGCTGGACATCTTCATGCTTCGGCTCTTCTGAACTGAATATCCTATCCATCCGTTGGTCGACGCTTTTATACCAGTTGCTGATCATGAACCCCTATTTAGCACATCCGTTATGTATGATAGATCAAATTTAAAAATAAACAAGTTAATTACACCTACCAACGCCTGCCATGACAAAAAACAGACACGCCTTATGTGGTTTCACCGGAAAATCTTATCTGTTCGATGTCTATCATCGTTTTTTATTTGTTATTCACAGTGAGTTCATCAAGATTAGCGTCTGTCTGCTTGTTTAATATGGGTAATGCGCAACTCAAATAAGAATGAACTCACGCACATACGGACACACAAATAGACACACACAGACACATTGATAAGTGAGTGGAAAAAAACTAAGCGTATCAGAAATTTTCCACGGAGTTAGGATGGGAGGGGGGCATTTCACACCCCCCTCTCTTCTTACCTAAAGAAGCCACTGAGTTCAACTAGAATGGTCACGCAACGTGACCAGTTGTTAATCGCTATGCAGACCAATATTTCTCAGTAAAAACTGGTTTTGTGTGTAATGTTCGAATTCTCGAGAATTGACACGTGACCATATCTACTTTCCAAGAGGTCGTTGCTGACTTTAGTGGCAGTAGGTACCTAATCAGGTTTACAAGTCCAAACCTATATGGGCCTCATCTACTACTGTTTCAGCTTAGCAACTGATCTCCAAGTCAAAATCAAATTTTTAGCTTTATTTGGTCATATTCTATACATTAGACCTCTCTTAGTCGAAAGAAAATTAGAGTTAGAGCGGATTCAGCAATCTAACTCGCAAAACAACATATATAGCTAAATTATTTTATGTATGGGAGAAGAAACATTAACATGTCCTAGTGAAAAAAATTACTTTAGTAGGTTATTAAACTATAAACTAATGATAGATAAGCTCTTTAGTTAAGTCAAAAACTGATTTTTATTCTAGTACTCAACATCTCAGACTTAACTATTCTTCCGTGAAGTTGGTGTATCCAAAGAATTTACTCTGATTTTTAGCGAATATCTATTATGCGCATGGACAAAAGTCGAGTCCATAGCCGAAGGATACTTTCATTTTGACTTTGTGTAAGTACTCCAAAAAATTCGGGGGCAAAGACGGTGTTTCGCAGATGTCCTCCTATTAGCGAGCATCCAGATTCAGTTGTTCTTGGTGACTACGCTCTTCTGATATTACGCAGGTTACCCGCAGCTCTCTGGGCTACTCAGCAAAACCACGATACGAGTTCATGTACTGGATTATATATATATATTGGTTTTCACCATTGTAATCAATCATACATTTATACACATATGTTTATTAGACTGTGTGAAAAAAAAAATTTATTTTTTTTTTTAATTCAAGGCATCTAAAAAGTTTCTTCTTACACGCTCCCTACTCCGGTGCCACGCGGGTCACTTAGGGCCATTTCAGCGTTAAAGGGTTAAAGGTTGTTTCTCGTCCATTAGAATGTTATTGTATCATGATTTACTACGTGTCATAATTTTTGGAACTTCAAAACAGCAATTTGGTGGGAGAAGAAGAATTACTCTAAATACTTCGATTTTAAAAGTGATTCTACCATAAGCAAGGAAGACATCATCGTTCTATAACTACTAAGTAAGTAGCAATTTATTCAGTTGATTTTTTAATTTTTGATTTATTAATTGTGATTTGAATTTAACAAATGATAAATAATTATCTCAATGGATTAATATTTTGATCTTAAATTGATTATTATTAATTGTTATAATATTTGATATTATTAAATAAATTTTCTTATTTTTTTGTTTAAGCAAACGCCTGAAAAAATCTCAACACGATGAAATACCTATATCATTCTTCATTTTAATTGTCGTATTGTTGGCTTGGGCAACTGATGCAGCTAAATCCTATGTAGGAAACTATGATATTGTAAATATTTCAATTAAAAAAATACAGAAGCGATAATTTCATAATTAATTAAAAAGTTCACAATTAATGACAATTTTTTGAATGTTTACAGTGTGATGGAACAAAAGTGGGAAATCCGTGTTGTGATCAGGATGAAAACTTCAGATGCGTACCAGGAAGCATTCGGAGCGGCCTATATCTATGTCGCAATTTCTAAAAAGTTTATTGACGGAAGTCGTCGTCATTTCTGTAACAATAATTTGTCACTGTAAATAAATGACGTTTGCTTACGTGTTTTTTCAATAAAATTCCTGCAATAACTTATATAATTTTTATAAATTTATGTATTGTAAGTTAATAATGTTTGAAAAATATTCAATTACAATGAAATACTATACAAAAAAATATTATAATCAAATAGTCTTAAATAAAACTTGGAGATCCGATGAAAACTCGACTTTCGAAAGTTGGACCGAAATCTATAACTTCCCTTCATTGGGAAATTTTCAATTTTGTTCGCGGGAAGTTAAAAAATAATTTTTTTTTTACTCAGCCTTATGTGTATATTCTATTCAGTTGCGCTCTTATTTAACCACCTTGTTCATCCTCCTATTGAATTCATCTGCTTACGGCCATTTTTTTAACCCTGATGAGTTTCCATTGCACCAGAGTTAGTGTATTATTTCAGACCAATGTTAGCAGATTATTAAAATAGTACCTTTGCTACTTCTGAATATAGTTACAAACCTCTGATTAAAAAACGGGCCCTTCATCGCTCAAAAAGAAAGTCATGATTGACTTCCTAAAATTACACAAAGTACAAATCTTAGAACTTGACCTTGAATCTTGTCACGATTGGACGTATATTGTTATTAGTAAGTCATTAAAATACTTAGATAGTACCTCACAATCATATCAGATTCAGATGTGCCTGTATTAGTTGAATACTTCCATCAACCTAGAGAATAATTTTTCAGTAAAGACTTTGTTTTAGGTATCGTGATCTAAAGTATCCTAATTGTGCTAAATAAATTAAGTGGTTCTTGTAAGAAAAGATAAAAATCAAATACAATATCTTCATAACAGTCTGTTTATTTTTATTTTCATTCTACAACTACGCTCAAAAAATTACAAGCCTATTGATACGGATAGTAATTGGGATATCTTTGCTGAGAACTAGGTTCATATCTGTACGGCCGTTGATCAGCTGCTTGATAATTTGAATAAGGGTCTTGATATAATTGATGTTCAGATGTTCCGTACATCTGCTTTAATGAAATGGCTTCAGCTTTGTTCATGTCGCCAGGGTATTCAGAGCGGTAGTAGTAAATTTGATTTCCGTTCGGTCCACCTGGCTCTACCCACGTAGTCGATCGCACCCTGAATGGCTTACTGAGGTCGTCTGGTAAATATACTCGTTCCGTTTGCTTTACTATTGATCCATAGATGGCGTTGTTGTTTGGACGAGTGTTATAAACATAATTTTTTTGTATAGTTATGGTATCCGGCATCGCCGGGTTGGCGTTCAAGATGTCCTGCAGGTCATCATTGTCAAATAATCCAACAATCTCTCTGTATCTATCCTGCTATGCCTCAATACCTTAAAAAAAAAACTATGAGCAGTCCTGCGTAATATATATATATATATATTTACATTGAAGAAAATAAAATAGAAAATTATTTTACTTACAAGAGGTCCCGATAAGAGCGAAGAGTATTACTGCAGTAGCTTTGCTAAATGACATGATCGCACCGATGTTCGATGAACACTGAAGCCCTCGATCTTAATCGTCCGTTTTATACTATTGATTATCTGACACACGACGTTTACGTCAGAACTTAAAACTCGTCACGTGTTCTCGAAACTGTCGTCAAGTCAATTAAAATTTTTATTAGGTTGTTTGTGTGATCTTCAACCTTTGTCGTGTCTCAAAAATATTCGCATGAAATTGCGTCATAGTTTATCTTTGAACGCTTTTGAATAATAACAAATAAATTTTTCCTGTCAATTGCTTGTGGGTTTATTTAGACACGTGAACATGATATGGGTAAAGAATTGGACGTTTCTTAATTAAGACAGCTAATTAGGATTCAGTATCTAAAAAAGTGACAGAATCAGACAATATTTTCAAGCAGAGTGTTGTGCATAATTTGGTCAAGTGTGTTTGTTAATTCTAAAGTTAGGATTTGACTAGATTCTCGGTCTAGAAGCTTATTTAGACTTGCGCGAAAATCGCAATAGGCTGACTCAAAAGGATTGATCAGGTATCTGCAACAATTATCGAGAAAGAATCTTGAGCTAGAACTTTCGAGATCTGGATGCTAATGCTCATCAATAGGGCCAGGAAGTTCACGTTTTTTATTTGTTCAAATTTTAAGTTAAACATTTGAATGCTTATTTAAACAACTGCGAAAGTCTGGGCCTAGTATTTCTAACAATACTACTCCGTTAAACAAATATAATCACTAATATACTGGGTCTGCATAAAAAAACAACGCAAGTATCTTTGATAATTTTTATTTAATATATATGAAAATAATAATGAACACACAAGTTTAAAAGTTTTTAGTACACTTATATTTAACTAGAATTTAAAATCTGTTGCGACTGCTCCGTCAAGTCCTTATGGGATCTCACCAGTTCCCTCATCGTTTTTCTTGCTTTCTTAACCTTCGAATTAGAAATGCTCTCCTGACGGCGAATTTTGTTCATTAACTCATCCAGATCATTTTGATAATCGAAAATATCGATTAAGTACATTTCTAACTCGATATACCACATTCTTTCATCATGATATTTACGGGGGTAAGATTCCCTCGTGTTTTCAAAATTTGTTTTCTTCGCAATGATAGCCAGATCGACTAATTGTGAGATTCTTTCACAATATTCCTCCAATATGCTCAAAGATTTTCTTAAATTTACAATCACCATTGCATTATGCTGATCCGGAGTCAGATTGAGCAGTTTTCTAATTTCTGTGTCATTCAAATCAGGAACAATACGTTGTTCCGGCTTGGTAAGGACGTCAGGCATTACCAATACCAGTTTTCCCGCATCATTAATTGCTACGTAATCATTGTTTGTCTGAGTTAATACAGAGCCAGCAACAACTTGAGATCCTGGCGGAACTGAACCGCCTCCACCAATATTAAAGTTATTTCGTATTTGGTTGTCCACATTGCCAATCACTATGGAAGGTACGTCCCTTCTTTGTCTTCTCCAAATCTGCCTCGGTGGTACATTGTGGGAGCCTAGAAAAAATATTTTAATATAATTAACATACTTGATAATTATAATTTATATAATACCAGAACGGTATTTTTTTCGAGTAATTAATCTAAATATGAACATAATTTTGAAAGTAATCACCACAAATTATACTGATACTCACAAGTAATTGCACTGATGATTGCAAATAAAACAACGGCTACTTTAAATGACATGGTTCCTTGATTTTCAGATCTCTAATGATGACTGTTCAGAAGCGTTCCCTATTTATAGCGTGTTGACGGCGAGTATGACGTAGATTTTTTTAAAATTATGATAAAGATATACAAAACATCTACAGTTCAAAGGTCAGTACGTGCTTACAGCGGGAAGTCCGATTTTGTATTTATAATGGGTAATTAAATGAAATTTCTGGAAACATTTGTTTGTCACATATCTTAGTAAGTACTTGACAACCGGATACAAGTATTGCTCATCATTTTGCTGGAAAATATTGTCTAATTATTATTACTAATACGGTGTTCTAATTCCCGGGTCGAAAAATTTAAACTGATTTTAAGCTAAATGATCTGCATTTGAACTTATTGATCTGTATTTGAACTTTTAAAAACATTTTCATCTGTATTTGATCTACTATTCAAATTATTTTTGATATGTTTTAAGTCTAAATAACTTTTTAGTAAAATAATTGAACCATCTTCTAGTGATGCAATTATGATTTCAGTTGATTCTTCTGGAGATTTCTTGTTTAGTAGTGCCTGCCGGATAATCTGGCGGCCACCAGGGTAAGGTTTTGACTCAGTGGATGTGTTTTGGAGCTGGAAGAAAATAGGAGATTAGTGTTTGGCTGGAAGGTAATCCAACTATTTATTGTTAACTTTTTAAAGGCTGGGAACCAATTTTGACTGGGCCATAAAGGAACTATCAGGATTCCTTCCGCTTTATCTAGCTTTATTTTTTGAATTACTTTGGCAATTACTGCGAACGGTGGAAAAGCATAGAAAAACCACGGCCTCCAGCTAATCGTGAACGCGTCTATCGCGAAAGCTTTCGGATCCCTGTCCCATGCACAGTAATTGATGCATTTGTTATTGAACTCTGACGCGAAGAGGTCTATTTCTGGGATACCAAATATTTTAATTATCTTTTTGTATGCATAATCAGCTAGTTGCCATTCTGTATCACGATTTGACAAGCGTGACAATGAGTCCGCTTCCACGTTGTCTTTAGATGCGATGTAGGATGCATAAACCCAGAGATCTCGACGTTCACACCAGTTCCATAGATCTCTCGCTAAGTCGTGTAGACCTTCTGATCTCGTACCACCTAGTTTATTGATGTAAGCTAGCGTGGTTGTGTTATCTACTCTTAGCAATATTTCCGCGGAGTGTAAGTTTTTTGCAAATAATTTTAGAGCTATAAAAGCTGCTTTTAATTCTAAATAATTGATATGTAAAGATTTTTCAGTTTGCGACCATTCTCCGTGGGCTCCCTCGCCGTCGCAGAAAGCGCCCCAACCTGACAGACATGCGTCAGAAAAAATCTCTTTTTGGAATTGAAAACTCCTGATTTTTCTGACTGCTGAAGGCAGTCTATTATACCACCAGTCTAAGTCTTCTGTGACATAGCCTGGGATGTTCATATTTTTGTCATAGTCTAACCCACTAAGGTCGAGAGCCTCTAGCTTGGCCTTCTCTAATAGTTTGCAGTGTAACATGCCATAATCAACACCCGGGCAACTAGCTACTAACATGCCTACTACCTGTGCAAACCTTCTTATTTTGCATGACTTTTTGTTTTTTATGGACTTTACATGTGTCATAAGAGAATTTCTCTTTTCATCCGGAAGTTCAACTATCATCCTCCGAGAGTTTAATATGAAGCCTAGGTATTTACACCGTTGACTAGGAGATAAATTTGATTTTACTCTATTTACTATAAACCCTAGGTTTTCTAGCAGCTCAATTGTAATTTGCAAGGATTTATGACATTCCTCTGGGGAATTTTCTAGACATAAAATGTCATCAAGGTAGATAACCGATAAAAACCCCATCGACCTCAAGTAAGTCATAACTGGTTTCATGAGTTTCGTAAATACATATGGGCTCTCACAGAGCCCAAAAAGTAAGCACGTAAATTCATATAACTGGGCCTGGAATCTAAATTTGAAATATTTTCTATTACTTTTGTGTATCGGTATCGCGAAATATGCGTCTTTGATGTCGAGCGAACCCATGAAGATGAATTGTTCCAGCAACCTGCAGGCAGATCTGAGGTCTTCGAGTTTGAAATGCTCCGTATTAATGAAAAGGTTAAGCTTCTGTAAATTTAATATAAATCTTTTGGAGCCATCTGGTTTTTCTCTCAGGAAATAACTAGAGAGGAACTGATCGACTGTGTCGGAGCACTTTTCGATCGCCCCAATTGTCAAGAGTCTGTCCAACTCTTTCTGAATGTCTGAGGCTTCTTGGGAAGACCAGATTTTTCCCCCCGTGGGATACGCTTGGTATGGAATTTCTTTAAAATTAATTTTATGACCCGTGATACATTGTCGGATAAATTTATCCGGTGTAATTTGTTCCCAAGCCTTTAAAAAATGTTTCAATCTTCCTGCTAACTTTACCTGTTCTTTTTCTCTTCCTAATGGGTTCGTGATCTGTTGGTACTGCTGCTGTTGTTCGATTGATGACGACGATAGCTCTGATTCGGAGTCTGATTGGGTCTGCTCTGGCTGGAAAGCCTTGCTGGTAGTTTTTGGGCAGCCAACTTGGGAGTCTGAGGTTTGAACTTCTGGCTCGTTACGAACGTCGGCCTGCAGGGTACTGACGAGCCGTTCCAGTTTCCCGAACTGGATGTTAGGCTTTTCTTCTGGGGTTGGACTTTTAAATCGTAGGTCAGTTTGTCCATAGACTTTATTTCTTTAATTTTTTCCCCTAGCTTATCACCAAATAGGTGCGTATCGATTTGTCTTTCCTCTAATGAGGATGCTACCTGTTTTGTCAGTCCTGGTAGGATATACGCGCGTCGGGCGATGGATTGCGAGTGATGGAGCTCGGCTTGGATTCTTGCTGCGTCCCAAATGTTGCCCAGTATTTCCTTTGAGTCGATTTTATCATTTTCCAGTAGTAGATTAATTACCGGAGCTAGTGCTGACAGACTTGACCCTGCTAGTTTTTGTGTATTGCAGAAATACTTATCTCGCTTTAACGCTGATTCATTTAGGGTGGACGCTATTTCCGGGTTGAAAATTGGAGCCTCTAGCAGACAGGATCCCCCTCGAGGGTATTTTTTCAGCAGATTTTCTTTCTCCTCTTTTTTCAGGCCCGATTTTATCCATGCATTCCATCTAACCGCAACATCTGCATGAATTTTTTGACAAGCTTCTCCAGTTTCTGGCGCCTGACCCAATATCTTTATAATATCCTCATCCAGGGTCGCTGACGAGCCAGGCTCCTCAATTTTCTTCTTTGAGCCTTCTATTTCGCCCTGCACTGTGTCTTTTTTTTTTTTTTTCTTTTGAATTATTTATTTATTTATTTATTTATTTATTTATCACCTCTCGTGTGATATATGTATATATGTAAATGGTTCATTGTTTTTTAATATTTTAATTTTTTAATTTTTTAGTCTTAGTCCTGTCTTTCATACAGGCTTCACCGAGAAATCTTTGGGATATGGCTCGTCTCTCGTACGAACTCTCCCATTATTTATAATTTGTAAAAATTTTTTACCTCGTAAACTGTTGTTATTATTTTCACTATCCGCCATGTTGACAGCATCGTGTATAGCTTGGGTTGCTAAAACCCTCATAACCAGTTCCTTCAGATCTTTCATCTCACGCCGTAATTTTTTGGTTTCCTCACCTCGTTCTTCACTGTGGGAACGCTTTTTGTGTTTCCCCATGTTTAATTAAATTAAAATACACATAATGAAATTAAATTGAATGAAAAATATTAAAAAATTTTATTAATCATAAAACAGACGAAATTTTTTGACCTGGGAAGGCTATAGTAAGACTGAGATTTAATTATCAATAATTAGGACACTTAGGTAATAAGCTTAAATAAAACATAAAATTTTAGTATAATTTTATATTCGACAGTGGTATTTATACACACATAATATACAAAACTTAACTATTCTAACTGGCCCGCAAAGATATTAACTCTAAATTCGCATTCTCTAACATCGTTCTTAAGTGAGCTAAATCTGCGTCAAAAATATCATGCATAGGCAGAGTTTCATCGTTAAACTGACTAAGACGTACTTCTTGGTATTTAAGTCTATCCATTAACGTTTTACATTTGTGGTACAAAATATTTAACTTTAATGACTTGTTCGATTCCTCTTGAGTAGTCTTTTCACGGTTACGGTCTAAGCCTCGATCATTTGCACTCTCTATTTCTGTTACTCCGTCATATATTTCTGTACAAGTTCTTTTCAATTGATCTATTTTTTCTCGTACTGCTCGATGTCTCGGCTGTGTAAGATGAGTTCCCAAACTTCCGTGGACGGCGGAGGGTGTCTGTTGATTTGCGATATTATACCAACGAGGCAGAACAAGATAAACGTTAGCGGCCTGATCAATATTTGAGTAAGAATTATTATCCTGATTTGTTACGGATCCTGTACTAATCGAAGAATTTTGAGAACCACCTCCATTTTCCGACGTTCCATCAAAGTGATAGTTATTTTTGTATTGCTGACCAACTGATCCATAATTAACCCACTTTGACTGTCCATCAATCTCTCTCCTGTGTCGGTTGAGCAATGAATCGCGGCTAAGTGCTGACTCGGCCCCTGAGAAGAAAAAAGAATGTCATTTTAATTAGTGGTTCATTTAGAAAGATCTTACTGTGTGATGATTAATTTTATTTAGACCGGGAGTTCATTACATTTTAATCTTTTAGTGGTTGACTTGAAACTCCACTCATTGCCAAAGCATACTCAGTAGGGGTGAAAAAAAAATTACAGTTAAAATAGATCTGAATTTTTTAAAGAAAAATAAAATTTTCATGACTTTAAATTTAAGCATTAAAAGTAATTAAAAATACTTACACGATATGTCGACAGTTGCGACGAGCAACAAAGCTATCAGCATTTTGTTGAACATTACTATCCTATACGTCTCGACGACTTATGCGGTCCAATGATTTATTTCTCTCTTATATACACACTGACGCACTGACGTCATATTTAAATGTCTATGAAGAGCATGATAAGGTTTCTTGTCACGTGTTCTCAAAACTGTCGCCAAGTCACTTAAAATTTTTATTAGGTTGTTTGTGTGATCTTCAACCTTTGTCGTGTCTCAAAAATATTCGCATGAAATTGCGTCATAGTTTATCTTTGAACGCTTTTGAATAATAACAAATAAAGTTTTCCTGTCAATTGCTTGTGGGTTTTTTTAGACACGTGAACATGATATGGGTAAAGAATTGGACGTTTCTTAATTAAGACAGCTAATTAGGATTCAGTATCTAAAAAAGTGACAGAATCAGACAATATTTTCAAGCAGAGTGTTGTGCATAATTTGGTCAAGTGTGTTTGTTAATTCTAAAGTTAGGATTTGACTAGATTCTCGGTCTAGAAGCTTATTTAGACTTGCGCGAAAATCGCAATAGGCTGACTCAAAAGGATTGATCAGGTATCTGCAACAATTATCGAGAAAGAATCTTGAGCTAGAACTTTCGAGATCTGGATGCTAATGCTCATTAATAGGGCCAGGAAGTTCACGTTTTTTATTTATTCAAATTTTAAGTTAAACATTTGAATGCTTATTTAAACAACTGCGAAAGTCTGGGCCTAGTATTTCTAACAATACTACTCCGTTAAACAAATATAATCACTAATATACTGGGTCTGCATAAAAAAACAACGCAAGTATCTTTGATAATTTTTATTTAATATATATGAAAATAATAATGAACACACAAGTTTAAAAGTTTTTAGTACACTTATATTTAACTAGAATTTAAAATCTGTTGCGACTGCTCCGTCAAGTCCTTATGGGATCTCACCAGTTCCCTCATCGTTTTTCTTGCTTTCTTAACCTTCGAATTAGAAATGCTCTCCTGACGGCGAATTTTGTTCATTAACTCATCCAGATCATTTTGATAATCGAAAATATCGGTTAAGTACATTTCTAACTCGATATACCACATTCTTTCATCATGATATTTACGGGGGTAAGATTCCCTCGTGTTTTCAAAATTTGTTTTCTTCGCAATGATAGCCAGATCGACTAATTGTGAGATTCTTTCACAATATTCCTCCAATATGCTCAAAGATTTTCTTAAATTTACAATCACCATTGCATTATGCTGATCCGGAGTCAGATTGAGCAGTTTTCTAATTTCTGTGTTATTCAAACCAGGAACAATACGTTGTTCCAGCTTGGTAAGGACGTCAGGCATTACCATACCAGTTTTCCCGCATCATTAATTGCTACGTAATCATTGTTTGTCTGAGTTAATACAGAGCCAGCAACAACTTGAGATCCTGGCGGAACTGAACCGCCTCCACCAATATTAAAGTTATTTCGTATTTGTTATTTCTCTCTAAACATATGACAGACAGCCATGTTGACCATCTTTGTAGTAGCATTCACAGCAGTACCATCATCTTTACTCATTCTTCCATAAAAATGTAATGTACTCTTGCTTGGGAGCAAGCACAGATCTTGATGCTGAACAGCAATCCTGATTCCATCACTGTTGTTGAATGTTGATGATGCGTATGGCATGTGTGAATGTGCTTCACAGTGTGCAATAGATTCATCAAAAATAATCGATTTTTTTATGTCTAAAATTTCCGCCATGGTATCAAGCAAGCTAGACGAAAAAAATTTAATTTTAAAATTTTTAAGCTAAGAAATAACGAGAAAAAAAAACTAAAAAAAAAAAAATTCAATTTTTGACGATTTTTGAAATTTTGAAAAATTTGGAGTGACCTCTTAAAAATTTTTTTTTTAGCTGTCCTTTGGTGAGGGCTCTTAAAACATCAAATACTAACATTTTTTCACTCGAGACTCAAAAAAAAAAATAGTCGGTTTTTTTTGCGCCACCCTAATATCTATGTTAATAAGGTTCGTTTACAATCCATACGCAGTACCTTTGTACCTTTCTTTTCTGGGTGGACAATGGCGCGAAAGATTTAAAAGTATTTGTATTTTATTTTAATCAACTTTATTATGAAAAATGAGATTATGAGGCGTGCACTTTTGGATTTTACAAACTTTTTAAATCTCCAGAGATATGAGCTGAGCGAGGATAGTGTCAATTAAATCCGTTGTACGAATGTGTGAGTGTTAGCTTAGGGTTGTCTCTCAGCTCTTTCTTTCTAAGAAGAGTATAATTCTAACACGTTAAAACGAAGCCGCGCATTTCAGTCTAATAATAAACATTTAAATGCAAGTCTTATGGAATCCATATCTTTCATTTTCTTCAGCCTAGCTCTCATCCATTAATAAGTAAAGATCTACATTCTGCAAAATCTCATACTCTTAATATATCTACATCTTCACCACATGTGTTACAACGAAGAGAGGTGTTTCATGGCTTATATGAGATTAAAACTCGACATTTTATGAAAACTCTATTTCAAAAAATGCCTGAGCTGATGTCTACCGTATAAGTCACGAAACAAGATGGAGGGGCAAAATGTTTACCAAATGTTAGTGCTATTACTGTTTGTAACCAGCCACATAACTGGGGAATTTATTATTTCCCATGATGCAATGTTTTGATGTTTTAGCCACGCATAACATGTGTGATACCTACGGGGTGCGCACATTTGAAGTCAAATTTATCGGCTACGTGACTTCATTACCATTACTATTTATATACTTTACCAGGAAACTGATAATTTAAACGAATTACGAATACAATGTATTATTTAAATGGTTTTTAATCAGAAAGTACGAACATTAGTATGCCGACGTCCATGTTTTCACTTTATGTAGTGAGCTTTGTTTTGGAATTTACCCAGATTTTTTATAGCAACGATTTGATGCGTATATCGAGAAAAGTATATGCATCCGGTCTTCTTATGCTGCAATTGATTTGCAATGTCAGTCCTTTATTTCATCAGGACAAACCTAACATCAGGACAACCTTAACAATTCACGCTCTTCCTACGAGTCTAACGCGTAAGCAACTCAATACTCCTAAGCACTAAAGTGTTAAGCTTCTAACAATATATTTTAAGAAATCTTTATATGTTCTATATATCGGTGTGTATGTGTAAGCTTCTTATTACTGTCTTAAAAATGATCACTATTAATAAGTACACGTGCCTAATAGATCTGTTGTTATCTAGATCAAACGATTATAAATTCAACTCTTAAGTTTATTTACTTAAAATATTTAATGTACTTCAATACATGGTAAGTGATCTTCAATTCAACATGTTCTGTTTCAGCGGATATTGTTTATTTCTAGAAAAATAGACTGTAACTATTTGTAACTTATTCCAGCAACAGGACTTATTTTTAGTCATAATTATATTTTTTTATACTAATTAATTGCTATCATCAGGAATGTACTAGATCCGGTTAATCACGCCACAAGACACGTGATTGCAAGTGATGTAAGTGTCGTCTACGACACCAATGATAAATCACTGGTATATAAGATTCGAGCTCTCTCAAACCGTCAGTAGTCATCAAAGCTTCATGATGAACACACCACTAGTGGCTTTTGTTGTAATCCTCGGCATCACATGTAAGTATTAACAATTCTTTGAGTGCTTAGTATAATAGGAACGTTTTTTTTGGAAGCTTCACACTTATCGCATTTACAAACGAAATTTTCACTTGTTAATGTATTCTTTTCTTTTTTTTTTTTAGGGGCCGAGGCCCTACCGAAACGGATAGACATCGTCATCGGGTCAAGAAACACCCAGTCCAACAATACTTTTGAAATGGGACATGTGCCAAATAACAAGACAACTAACAGTTCTCAAATCACTTATGGATCCGTGACGAATCAACATGATGAAAGATTTTTCATTCTGGGAAGAGCCAACAAAACCGAGGTCTTGACGCCTCAATGGTATGATAAGTATAGTGAAATACCACGGTCAGTCATTGTATCAACTGACCCAGATCTTCCTGCAGATCGTATAAATTCAAACAGACGGCAGAAGGTACAAGAAAATTTGAACTCTTTGACTGGATCATGCCAAGAATTGAAGGGAAAGTTGTATCAGGCGCTCCAAGGAGGTCAAAATAAACAAACTATAATAAATCTTATTCAAGATAGTATAAAGATTGAATTAGATCTCCAAAACCAGCAAAAATCTCTAGATCAATTTAATTACGTAATGCCGTTGACTCAATCAAAACATGATGACTTTGATAATAATTTACGTACGATACTTCTGAAAATTGAAAACTTAATTCTAATGCGTTTGAACAAATAAATAAATTCATTTTTATGATTTTACTGGGTAATTGGAATTCATTTCCTGTTGACTTTATCTTAAATAAACAAACTATCGGTAATGTACGTCTGACGCTATTAACGCATCCGGTAAATAGGATATAAATAGCGACAGATCTGTGAGGCTAGCATTCGTGTTTCGGCAGCTGATTAACAATGTTGTTTAACAAAGCAGTGATTGTTTTGTGCATCTTCATCTTGAGTATCTCATGTAAGAACAAATCAAAATTATTTTTCATAGATTTGAAATAGTATCGCTTAGATAATTCTCTAGCCTGAATTCAAGCGTCCTTATCACATTAAATTTTTACATTGTATGTATTTCCTTCAGGGATTCAAGCAATTTCTGTTGAAAAGGAGAAAGAACTTTCTCTGCCTGAAAACATCTCCCGATTGGTCACTCAAAATTACACTTCCGAGCTAACGACTGAAGAAAATCGGTCTTCAAACGACTCTGCATCAAAATTAATAACTTTTACGGACGATAATTCTCTTTCTGAAAAAGACTCTAGTGCCGATAATTATTCTTCGGGAGTAGACTCTGATTCAGAGGATGATCTTTCTGAAGAAGGCTCTGGTACGGGTACTCATTTTTCTGGAGATGGCTCTAATGATACAGATGATTCTTCTTCTGAAGAATACTATGATAACAAAGATTACTCCACTGAGTATGAATATGATGCCAAAGCAGAAGATGATAATCATGAAGTAACATCACCATTGCCAGTAACTACCACCGAAGAATTCACCTTCGAGGAACCTGCATCGACTACTGTGGCAATCGAAGATGCCTCTGAAAAAGCTGGAAGTGCTAATCAACCAATTCCACTTGTGATAATTATTGCCGTACCCATCTCTGCTGTCATTTTGTTACTCATTCTCCTTATTTTATTGAAAATTTACTGTGCCTCGCGCAAAGCTACCCAAGAAAGAGATGGTGCAGATCAAACTTTTATTACAGTAGATAAATTTATGACTATCAAAAACTAAATGTAGATCTAACTGAGGCTGCTATAGATTTAAGTTAGACCTCCAAGGTTGTGAAGGAAGAATCTTATTGATGTTAAATAGTGTAAGGTTGTTTATCTAAAGTATATAAATGTAAGATGTTCTAATTTGTGATATGTGTTAGTCAATAAACTTTAATAGTAATAAAACTAAATTGTTTTTAATTATTTGCATTCTACGGCTAGCGAAAGCTCCCTGCTTCAAATGACATTTAAAAATATGTTGTTTTATCATCTTAATTGTCTTATTGAAAAAATCCATCTAGGAAACCAGTCTAAGTGACTGAATAGTAGTTACGGACAGTATCTCGGATAGCTTAACTGGTAGAGCCTTTGGCGCGTAACCAAATGGTCCGGGTTCGAGTCCCGGTCTGGATTGTCTGAATTATTTTTTCGGTTACCGAAAAATTCCCACTGAGTTAAGTCCCCTCTTTACCTTCATCCTTTATTTCTCCTTCTTTAGAAAGTGAACCTTTAGACAGAGTTGACTGTATAAATTATGGTTAGATTCTACCATGGATTTTCACATGGTGTTTTCTATGTGGGTTTAGATATAAATCTATACCTTCCTACGTTAAATTTCATGGATCTCTATATGAATCCTTTCTCATTTAGATTGCTATACAAACCTACATGAATTTTTTTGATACGGAGTCTTCATATCAGACAGTTTGTACCTGAAAAACCTCAGGGAGCTTAGTAGGCTACACTATAAATTTCCATAACTATATCTTCAGCGGTATTCATTCGTAATTTTTGTATTCAAGACACATGTACTGAAAATACCTACAGAGTTACGCACGCACTAAAAATATTCAGTGATAAACACATGTAATTTCCTGTATCATCATATTGGTTTAAACTGAGAAATTTCATGATGTAGTTTCACAACAATCTCAAATCCAATCACGTTTTATCCATCTTTTTATCATGGATGGTCACGTGCCGGATATTCCCTTCGTCAACTGAATGAGCGTTGCTTAGCAGGCTAAGTTTCTTCAAGTGAATTTAAGTAAAGAGTTAATTACGACTAGAGCATGGCTTAAAAGTATCTAATACAATCATTTATGTAAAGCTCTAATAGCTTTTCCAATTGTTTTTCTAAATTATAAATTTGAAAGATTACCAAATGTCTTCAATAAAATAAATGATTAATGTGTTAAAATTATTAATTATATAAGTAGGCTTACCATGAGTCCCGGGTTTTGAAGATTATACTGCCATATTTTTGAGAACTTGGTTTTAGGCGATGTTTATTGTTGTGAAATTTTTTATCTATGCGATGATTCCAAACAAACTGTTCGGTTCTTATTGAACCGTTATTTTCAAGAAAATAATTGTCCACTTACGTTCAAGTGAATAGAAACAGAAAATTTGGTTCATGATTGTCTATTACACTGATAAAAAAACTATCTTCATTCATGAAAAATATTCTTGATCCAAGAAAATTATTTTGAAGAGAACTAGTCGTCATACTTCAAGAAATTCTTGTCTTGAATTGATATTTCTTGGATTAAGAGGTCTAATCACTCCGATCGATAACATTTGTACTTGGTTCAAGACCGTATTATCTTCGATCGATATAAGTAAATTCTTTATTCAAAAACGATTCTCTTCAATAAAGAATAATTTTATTTCATTTCAAGAATTATTGATTGTTGATTCAAGAACAAGTTTTTTTATTTATAATGTTATAAGTTTAAGTCAGAAAAAAACTTTGAAGTAAAAAAATTTGTATTACTCTATGTGCCGAAAAATATTTATTAATACAGAGAATAGCAAAAATACAAAAATTTATATGCTTAAAACAGGTAAAATAATATCTTAATTCAAAAGTCGCGCCATACTTGGAACAAGTCGGTAACATCTTGAAAAAAAAAAAATTCTTGGGCGAAATTGTATATATCTTATTTGAAAACAACCAAGTTCCTTGATTCAATAATCAATTTCTTAAGTTAAAAGAATTGAACTACTCAAAACAAGAATGAAATTTTGAAGAAAAAATTTTTCTTGAATCAAGTCATTTTTTCTATCAGTGTAGCCTTGAAAATTTTTCAACTCGAATTCTCAGTTGTTCCGACACTCGGAGAAAGTAGAATTAGTAAGAATATGAAGTAAGGGTTACTTCATATTCTTACTAATTAAGCGTTACGCTAGACAACTATGAATTTTATTTATGGATATTGAATTTTCTGAAAATTTTCCACTTAATTCTGACTAATTTTTTTACAAAATATATTATGTAGCTATATAAAAAACATGTTTTTTGGATCAATGTTTGTTGTAACATACAATGTTGAATCAAATTTTGCAAACATTTATTATTGAATAATGTTCTGTATTGAATATATATTTACGTAAGGAAAAAAACATTCATTCAAAAATTGTATTTATAAGTTTATTCAAATAAATTTAAATACAGATAATTATATTTTCAAACTTTTAACATTGTTTAACACACATTTATTAAAGCAAAAAAATATTCTTTCATAATGAAGTATTTTGGCTACCTATTTGATAGAACAAAATTTTTCTGGATTCATTTATTGATTCACATAAGTGATGCGACCTTCTTCGCCAATATAGATCGGGCTGATACGTTCCACATACTTTGAAAAGACCTCCCTCATTGTCACGTCTATTTTGGAAAGAAAATTTTTTTAAAGTATTGCGTGTCTCAACTCTAAACACTATTTTAAGGTTAGATTTATGCAAAGACATTCAATACTTTTAAATTTATTTATAAATCGTACCAAGAGATTGCCACGGCAAATCTGCGATGAAGTCGAATCCATCTTTTCCTTTGTGTAGAAAATCAAGGGTTATTGCCTTGTAAGTTTTATTTTCATCCAGAGGTTGGTAAACAGGAACTTTACAATCAGCACAGCGTACGAAAACGGAGTTTGGGACAATTTTTGATCCTCCGGGTTTTGATAAATCATAAGACATCTATAAGATAAGAAAATTATAGCGTAATTTTCAACGAGAAATAAAAACTGCTGAAATTATTTAAAAAATAAATTTACTTAAACAACGTACTTTTATGCCAGAAGCCTGCAATAATCTTCCATCTACATACTCGGTTCTGTCAAAATCATTATAGGTTATGTTAAAAGCTCCGTGCTCGAATGCGTTTAATAACTGTCTTCCCGTCAAGCTTACTATTCCTATTATATCATCGTACGCAACAATACTGTACACGTCATTCATCGTGATCTATATAAACAATTGAATAATTTCAATAATTCAATAAAGAAACACCCCTGTTTTTATGTTTGTATTTTTGCACGCCTCATAGCGCAAAGCGCTTGTGGATGTGCTTTATACCCGACTTATCAAGGTTAAGCAATTTTGTGATCTTCAAATGCACTTTCGGATTTTTCAAGCTTTTCACTACTATTGGCCCCGTTAAAATTTACTAAGCACTTTGCAGATCTAAGCAGATTTTGTACCAAAAACTAACAGTGACTATTAGGGCCAGGACTTTTGCAGTTGTTTAAATGAGCATTCATACGTTTAACCTCAAATTTGAATAAAGAAAAAATGTGAACTATAGAATATCTATAAAAAAACAATACAAAAGGTATAGTAATGTAAGCTCAGTCCAGCTAAGAACTGAGTAAAGTTTAAAGAGGCCATTGTATACGATATACTACTCTCTTTTGTACAATCTACACGGAAAGAACAACAACTCACTGGGTGGTATGCATAGTAAAAAAAATTTCAAACTATAGTCAATATCCTTTAAAGTATACTCGGTTAAATAGGAAACTTCACGGAGTACAGTTAAAAACTCATGCAGTATACTTTAAAAGATATTGACTATAGTTGAAATTTTTTTTCACTATGAATACCACGGAGTATACTTTATGAGTATGTACAGTGAGTTATTGTTCTTTCCGTGTACTCTAAACAGTAGTCAATTTAGTGTAGAATGAAACACTAGCGCCATCTTAAGCTTTGTTATCGCACTAGCGTTCAGATACGCTTGATGAATAGTAACATTGAAAACGTTGTCAATTTACTGTCTTCTTCACTATATGTTACAACGTTAATATATAACGAGTTTTTTTTAAATTACAGCCTATTTTTCCGGAAAAACCTAAATAATTATTAAAAACATTACTTTACTATGTCCTTCATAATGTGTTTTGAATGACCCGCTATTCACTATGGCGATCGAAACATCTGTCCATTTGTCATTTTCACGGGCATGCGGTTGATGCACAATGTTCTGGAATCATAAAATACCATTACTGCAACAATATCATACCTACTCTTCACAAAAAAAATATTTATATAGACATATATATGAAAACATACAGCTGAATATAAAAAAAAAAAATTAGGATGACGGTTGACCCTAAAGGCCATCCCTGCAACTTCCCGCTCATTTCGTACTTAAGCGCTCAAAATTTCACATTACGTTTTTGAGCTCTTCGAGCTCAAAAATATGATTTTTGTGTCATTTTGAGCTCTTCGAGGTCAAAACTCTACTAGCAGTTTAATAAAACACAACGATAACTCACGAACGAATCAACCGATTTTGACCGGGCTGGCGGTGATCGATGTGGTTTTTTGATCTTAAGGAAGTACGAGCGTAACTAATGAGTGAAAATAATGTTAAAATTTTTTTTTAATTTTAGTCTTCTCAATATTCATTAAAATTCTTTATTATAATTTAAAATAATTTAAACAATCTAATAATTGATGATTTTTACTTATTTAATAAAGTAAAGTAATAAAATGACTTTCGTATTTATTACTTGCCGGAATAAATAAACAGATTTGGCAATAGCGCGCTTGATTATACTCATAACAGAGACTTGGATGAGTGTGTGAGTTTAACATTCCTCTCTCTGTAACTATACTTCTATCCTTTTCTTTTTTTCTCAGCTGTTGACGCGATGTTGTCAAATATTTATTCGAATAAATAGCTGACGGTAAACGAGTTACAAACATAAAATTTGACTTTAAATATTTCAAAAATTATATTGGTAATGTATTATTATTAAATTGTTTTTATATTTTGCAATAATCCAAGTTTCTTGTGTATAGTTTTTTATCCGTTAAAGTTGGGAGGTTAATATTGAAAAAAATAATTAAAGTCTCGACAAAAGTTTGTCCGCCATAAGAGCCCGTGTATAAGAAGATAAAATATGAGATTTTTAAAATTTAATATCTAAGTAACTAAACGGTGAATCTTTTTAAAATTTTGGGATTAGATAAATGACGTATTTATTTATACGTATACTTAATTTCAAAGCTCAAAGTTGGAAATTATTTTTTACATTAGATTCGCTCGAACTTCCTAAAGAGCTGATTAGATTTTGAAATTGATCGGTAAAACCACTTAAAAGTAATTCCGAAAAAACCACATTTCAAAAATAGTATATTACATACCTAGGCCAGTAAAATAAGAAAAGTCTCAGACCACATGTAATTGTTGGCCGAGGCGAAGCCGAGGTTGACAAACATGTGGTCTGAGGCTTTACTTTTTACTGGCCAAGGTGTGTATACTATTTTTCTGCTCGACGTAGCCGGAATGTGGCAACTTTGTTTAGCGCAGCGGCCAGAAAGTTGCCACTTTCCTTTTTAATTTACAACAAAATTTTTTTTAATTTCCGAAAATCATAAACAATCATATCGGTTACTTGGATTTTTTAATTTTTTTATTTTATATCTTTTTGTAAAGAAAAAAACTAATTTTGTTTTCTTAATAGTCTTATGAACGTGGACTTGGCGCGATTTTTTTACAGTGAAACTTTTTTTGTTCGGATTTTAGTATTTTTTGTAATTTTATTAAAAATTTACAATTGGTACCAATTTAAATCTCGCGTTGGCTGCATTTTTTATAGCAAACTATCCCTTTGAAGCTACAGTTTATGTAAAAATAATTTCAGCGCACCCTGGCGGGTGTAGATGCAAGCAGTGAAATATTTTTTTTTAACTGTAGTTTCCCATCTAATGAAGGATTACTATGCATTCTCGAATTATTTAGTCTTATCTGTGGCAGATCACTTTGCCCATCGAAAAAAAGTCAGGATCGAAATTTTTGCGTTGCTATAGTTTGTGCTGATTAAATTTAGTAATTTCAAGTAGATTAATTGTTATAAGTGAATATAATTAATTAATAACAGTAAAATAAAGTATGAATTACTGTTATAATATACAATTTAGGAAAATAAAGTACCGTAGAACGGCGCTCCGTTGACAACGGATTTGAACGGAACTTGGCACCAGATTCTACCGAATCTGTGGATAAAAACAAAATCGGACTTTTCTATATTTTTTTACATTGTAGATAGTTATAAAAGAATTGTAATTAGACCAAAGTATTGCAAAACGTCTGACGATTACTGTAAATTTTACGGTAATTTCAAGAGAAAATTTAATTCTATATAAAAGCTATTTTGGATGAAATTTGACTTATTTCCAGTTATGTCCCATTGTAACTTTAATTTTAATTTAACGAACTGAATCCAGTGATAAAAGACGGTACACATGATAATATTGAGTCAGTAGCGCAGTGGAAAATTTGTTTCCGGGCATCAGGTACGGGACTCTATGACCTCCGGCAGATGAGTTGCTGCCCCGGCCTATAATCTCATCTAACAGGGGCCACTGAGTAGTCGCTGGTAATCTTGACTTAGATTCGATGCAGAAGCTCTAGTCATACTAATGCTATATTGTGAACCTACTCATTAGTCAACGTATGTATAGATACTTCATATCATCTCTTATGACCACTATAACCGCTTATTTTTTTTTTCTTTTAATTATTTATAAGTAAGTTTAATAATAGTTCTTTTTTTTCTGATGAGTAATTCTGTGTAAATTAATAAAAAATTTGCTTTTCGAATTTACGTGAAAAATTGACATTTATTATATTGTGACATGAAATTTGTAATGTGTATGAATTACTTTCCGATGCTATAATGGTTAGTAAAAATTTAATTGTAAATTTAATTCTAAAAATCACCAATATACAGCACAGCGGTGAAATCTTCTTACATGTGCTAAAAATTTGAATTTTTTTCACGACAATTAAATTCCAAGTTATCCGCTAGGTGGCGAAAAATTTAATAATATTCTCGCATTCACTATTAGCCCACAGAATCTTTTTAGGTTTACCTGGTTTTGCAAAACTACACGGAAAGAAGAAAAATAGAAAAATTACATTATATAATGTAACGTAGCGCTTCATATAAAAAAGTAAAGCTTGAAAAAAGCTACAATTCCTTTTTTTTTTTAAATCCCCGTCCGTCCAATAGATCATTAGTTATAAATAATCGAAGTTTTATAAACAAATTGATGTTGCGAGCTGAAAAATTATCCAATAGTGGATTTTTTTTACAGATTTCCGACATTTAATCGAACATTTTAAGCTTTTAATAAAGTATTTATCTCAAAAATTCAATTATTCAAAGCTAAAAAACCGATTTTGCTTTGAAGACCGATATCTCGGGAACTAATACAGGAGCTATTAAGCCACCTTTAATTTAAGCAGTCTCATCTCCAATAATCCATTCATTAATTTCATCGCTGTAAGTGAATTTGTTAATTGTCGATTGAATAGAGATGATGAAATAATATTTTGCTATAAATAAATAAATGTAGATTTTATTTTAAAAGATAAGAGATCCTTTTCCGATCACGATTAAATGCAAAATTATTTTATTCAATTTATTCTGGTAGTGTATACAGTAAAAAATTATTTGTTATCGAAGTTTGATATAAAATTGTTAAAAAATTGAAAATGGTATTAAGTTCATTAGTGAAAACTTTTTGTACATTTAAATCAAACTTTACTTCGATCAATTTGTGTATGACACGAGTACTTAACACATAGGCATTTGAATTTATCTTTCTTTTTTTTTTTTTCGTAAAGATATAACTAATTTTAAATCAATTAAAAAATCCTAGATTTTAAAGTATTCACTAATTATTCTTCGAAATTTTTCAGTGAATAAATTATTAAAAAAAAAAAAATAAGTATTAGTTACTTGATTTAGTAAACTTTAGTTATATGCAATTGGTAATATCCCTTTGAACAATTACAAGAGGCAGTAGTCGTTAGCCTATAACCCCCGTTAGTATGCATTCCGTCACACCTGAGTAACTACGCTCATACACAGACCTGCAGCAGCAGCAGCAGCAGAAGCAATACGCTCACACATACACTGCTGTGTACTATACACTTTATGGTTATATTATAAACACTTTTAAAACACGTTACCAATAACACGACCATCAACATAACACTATAACCTAATGTAAGTTCTCTTAACGATCTCTCAGCGAAAATCCTCCTCTGCCTCCACGTACTCCTCCTCCACATCTCACATCACCTTCATCTTCTTCGTCTATTACACCCTGATGTTGATCATCCAGACACTTTACCAACGTCCGTTTACAAATACATACTATTCTTTTTTTTAATATTCCCATAGCACAGTAGAGTCTTTTCTTTTTCTTTAAGCTGAGTTTATAAATTGTACTCAATAATTGCTGAGCATCAGGTAGTCTATTAGTACGATAAATCTCATCGGCTCACCATGTTAACCACGGTCACGAAATTAACCTGTATACGTCATTTAATTTATCTTAAATACATATCATATATTATTTTATGAATATAATTTATAAGTAGGCCAGTCTGAGGTGAAGCTAATTATTCGTATTTTATAAGACGAGTTAATTAGAGTTACTAATTATTTGGATATATTGATGGTTTAGAAAGAAATAAATTATGTTTATTGGGATGATTTATTTTTTGAAATTTATCTTATGTTAATAATTTGTCTAAAATTTTTTTGAAACGAAAATATTTTTGTTGTTGACTGTGCTAAAAAATGATCATGTCTTTATTATAACACTAAATCGTATTGAAAATCAATAATATATACGGTTCAATGGTATGAGAAGCACACTATATGAAAAAGTAGTAATTAATCCAAACAAAAACAGTTTCACTGTAAAAAAATCGCGCCAAGTCCACGTTCACCAGACCATTAAGAAAAAAAAAATATTTTTTTCTTTACAAAAAGATAAAAAATTTAAAAATCCAACTAACCGATATAATTTTCGGAAATTAAAAAAAATTTTGTTGTAAATTTAAAAATTAAAAGAAACAATTTTGGAACGTATTTAGTGTGCGTAGCTGCAAAATATTTTACTTTTTAAGAAATTCGTATGATCTATCTACTAGGACTTGAAAAAATTTTAAGTACACAATAACGCACACCAAGTAGACCGATGATTAGGTACACAGTAAAAAATTTTGCGTCAACGCGTCAAAAAACTTAGTGTTAAAAATTTTTGTGTTAAATATTCAACACTTTTATCTGTAAAATTAACATTTATTCTGTTAAATCAACACAAAAAAGTGTTAAATATTTAACATAAAAATTTTTAACACAAAATTTTTTGACGCAATGACGTAAAATTTTTTACTGTGTATGCAAATTAAAACTCATTTATTAAGCTTTCAGATGCAATCCACAAAAATTTTACAAGTTATCGCATTCAATAGTTAATTTGCAAAGAAACAGTGACATTACCAATTTTTTAATATTTTAAAGAATTCAAATTGCTGTCATCCCTATAAGGTAATAAAAGACCCCATTAGTGGCACCTTTAACCTCTATTAGTGGCACTTTTTTTTTCAATGAAAAAATGTTCTACTTGGAATAAAAATTAAGAATTTTTTGATCTAAAGATCTTAAAGATTAGAAATAATATATTCATTATTGAAATTAATGATTTCATTAATTGAATAAGTACTAAAATCAAAGAAAATGTCAGTGATGGGGTCCCCGCTTACTAATGGGGTCTTTTACCCTACTATTTTATTAAAAAAAAAAAAAAAAAAAAATAAGTATGCAAATTAAAGCTTATTTCATAAGCTTTTAGGACGAAAAAAGAGTAAAAGTGATCATTTTTGAGATTTTTGAATTTCTGTCATTCCTAGACTATCTAATTAAAGGAAAAAAATAAGCAAGTAAATTAAAGTTTATTTATCAAGCTTTCAGGTGCAATTTACAAAAGATAAGATATTAAATTTTTTATATTTTTTCACTCTAATAATCGAATAATTTTCTCTATTCAATAATAGAATTTCAGTATAGAGATAATTAAAACATTTAGTACACACACAAACATACAGACACCATCGCGGGAATAGTCAGGGAAGCTTCCTAAGACCTCAAAACGTCGAGATCTGATGAAAACTCGATTTTCGGAAAACGGGGTAAAAACAATAACTTCCCGATTTTTGAAAATTTTCAATTTTCTTAGCGGGAAGTTAAAAAATTTATATCGACAAAAATATCTAATCCATATAAATATTTTTTGGTAGAGAACCTTACACTCAGACTTCAAAAAAAAATCTCTTACATAATCAACCATTGCGTCAGCAAGTAAGTTTGCCGAGTTGCACTCATGGACCTTACACCTCTTAGGTCCATCCAACGGAACCAAAGTCTCACCAATAACTTTTTCTCCCAACTCTCGAATCTCCTTACGATAATTGTTAAGAGCTTCGACGACATCATTAGCTTCAGGAACTTTGTGATTTATCAGAATCGGATTGCCTTCAACGTGTGTTATTTCGCCTTCGGCATCGAAAGTAACCTCCAAATCCCCGAGATACTTGGTGTACGCATAAGCTTGCACCACATAAACTTTCTTTCCGTTCGGCTGGACGACCACAGTTGGATAAGGACCCTCAGGTTTCTCTTGATCTGGCTGGGGTCCATTGAACAAGAAAGTGTTGGTGTGGCCACCGACGATCAGGTCTAAGCCTTCGACAGCCTTCGCAATCTCCAAGTCACGAACATACCCAGAGTGGCCGAGTCCAATTATTATATTAACACCCTTGTCCTGCAATTCTTTTACATTATTCCTCAGACAATCTATTTCGTCGAGAATCTTGACGTTGTCCACTTGCGCGACGTCCATTGTTTCGCGGGTCAGGTAACCAATTATTCCAACTCGATGACCTTGAACTGAAAGCTCTACATACGGACGCAGCTTAGATTGCTGCAGCTCGGGTTCCCTTGACAAATCCAGGTTGCAACAAAGGACTGGTGCGTTCACGTTGTTAATGAATGGAACCAACTTCTTCGGACCATGTTCAAATTCGTGATTGCCCAAACTCTGAAAATTGGCAAAGAGTTATAAAGTGATTTACCTAGTAAGTTTTTCTACCCGTACCATCGCATCAGGCTTCAAGAGATTCATCATATCTAAGACGATTTCCTCCTTGTGGATTTCGAACCAAGGTGTGCCAAAGAAATTATCCCCTGCGTTCAAGAACAACACTGGGGAGGTTGACGTGCTGTTAATTTCCCGGACTTTGGAAGCTATTCTTGCGAAACCTCCGTAACACCTTTCTTTCTTGACGTCTTTTTCACTGCAATCCGTTGAACCTTTCGATGTTTGATTGAATCTATGTGAGATAAATTTTACCTAATTGAATTGTGGGTCTATGGATTTCTATGTGGGAATCGATATGGGAAGAAATGGGTATCGTGAGAATTCCCATAAAAGAGAATTAATTGTTTATTTAATTATAGTATAACAAGTAAAGAAAGATTTATGCGTGTATCGTTATTGCCGGGTAACTTTAGAATGGAGTACAGAATGTATACTGTACATAGGTACTATAGTGGGGAGATAGGTTGCTCCGACGGCTCGGCGTGAAACTAGCGACGGTATTGTAGCATTTACAACATATTATGTAAAATTACGTACTTGTTAAAATTCATATAAGAGCTCATCTTTATGTCTAAACAAAACTTTTAAGCCTGTTACTGAGAAAAAAAAAATCTTTTTTCTTGAACCACCCTACTCAGTATGCACTGAAAAAAAGTTTTTTTCCACCCAGGAAATATGTCTTTCCAGTAAAGAAACTAGCATTCCTGTGTGGAGAATTCCAAAGTTTTTTTCCTACACTAAAAAGTATAGTGGTTTTTATAAAACTCGGTTTCTTCTTCAGCAAATTAATTATAATTAAATTTAAGAAAATGTAATTAATCATAATAATTCAATTATAAAAAAAATTAAATTAATTATTAATTAAATCGCTGAAAAATTGAATTTTTAATTACGTAAATCGTATTCGAGGAACTTTTTTCGTCCCCAAGGATCCATCCAAATTATGATATCAATTGTAATACAGCTAGGTAATTTTTCAATAAATTATAAATCAGCACCATTTTTCAATGATGTAAACAAACGAAAAATACCAGATTTTTTATATTAAGGAACGTATATTGGATATAAAAAAACTTGGATAAAAATATGTTGTATTCTGGGTGGAAAAAAACTTTTTTCAATATATGGGTAATTCTCTGTAAGGATGTTTTTTACTGTCCCAGGCAATTTTTTATTAGAAAAATTGTTATTTTGTTACAAAAAAAATTTATTACGAAAGTAAAAAAAAAATTTCTATTTGGAGCATTGAAAACTAAGATGAAATAAATTTTGGTTTTTTTGCTATAAATTTGTAAACCACCGAAATAACAGTCCCTTGGGCTATACCATACCCAAAATTAAAACTTTAAGATTAAATTTTAACTTATTCGTCCATAACATATAATTTGGTCCATAATGTTTATAAACTTAATTAGTGAACTAACAATCTTCTTCAATAAAAAGTACCGAAAATTAATTTGTTTCATTAAATTCATTAAATCAAAGTTTGTCCCAGGCATTTTAAGAACAGTCCTCTGCCAGAAGTTCAAAGCCAAAAAAATATCCACCGTGTTATTTTACCTTTTGTAAGATTTATAAGGACCTAACTAACCTTGAGTTAATAACCATAGGACTGTTAGCGCTTTATCGGCATTTTATTTAGTGTTAAAGCACCGTTTGTGTGCTGGAAATATGTGTCTGGGCCACTTCAAAACTTAGTCCCCTGGCTACTATATTTATTTATAATTTATTTATAAAATTGGATCCATAAGTCTTTATATTATTCTAATTATAGTGTAAACATTCATTGAGAACTTGAAAAGTTGAATACATTGAAATAGTTTGCTTGATTTTTCTCAATATGATAAAAAAAAAGTCCCCTGGCAAACAGTCCCCTGTTATGTTTTATGACAAAAGATACATAAATATCAAGAAAGTAAAAATTAATTCGGCTGTTTATTTATTATGATTGAACGCGATATCAAATTTAATTTCAGTAAATTGCATCTGAAAGCTTATTCAACAAGCTTTAACTTGCACACTTATCTATTTTTCTGAATTAAATAGTTTAGGAATGACAGAAATTCAAAAATTTTCAAAAATCTTAAAAATTTTCACTTTTACCGTATTTCAGTGCAATAACAATTGAACGCGATATCCTATCAAATTTCTGTAAATTCCACAAAAAAAAAAAAAAATAAAAAAAAAAAAAAAAAACATTCTCCTGGCAAACAGTCCCCTGTCATGTTATATTTGTGCGTCTGAATTTCAACTAATTACAGCGAATTCAAAAATAATTTAGTCTGATAATTTCGTACAGATTAAAGACGTCCTAACATAGGCGATGAATCACCCATATGTATATAAAAACACTTGGGTAAAAATATTTTGTATTCGGGGTGGAAAAAAACTTTTTTTTCAGTATATACAATAATATTTCACTAGAGAAACGAAAGAAGAGATCATCCTTCAAAACAAATCACCCTAATAATTATATAAAATAATTTATATGATTTCGTGCATTTATATAAAACTTTATATAACTATACATAAATATCACTAAAAAATAATATTAAATACTTATTAATAATTAATTATTAACAAATTAGATGCTGACCAAATATATTCCATCAAATCGTAAAACAAATTTTTATACGGGATATGTTATAATGATTTAATAATGTAATATCATTTAATGATTTTGTAACAATTTTGATTTCCATAATGAACTTACCTCGAGTGCATATCATTTGTATGAACAATTCTCAGCTTCCATTCGCCATTTTTGGAATTGTCAACAGGGGTACTTTCAGCATTTCTCAGGTCGTTGGATTGATTAATGCTCAAGGAGAGTCCATCGGCGAGAAGACTACCGAATATTACAAGTATAAGATTTAATTTGCAGAGCGACTTCATCTTCAAGTCTAGAATTGAAACTATACAACTTCAAATTCTTTAAAAGATTGTTCGATCGAGATGAAAAAATTATATCAAATATTAGGATTTTCTTCAGAAAAATAAATTGACTGTTAACACAACACGTCCAACTGTTACTTAAATACCGAATTTCTATCGATCAATATAAATCTCTTTATTACTTTGTATGTTGGAAGGGTAAGTACGATGAGTCACAAATAATAGCAATTATTGATAGTCAAAAAACGTAATAGACTTTACGATTTCAAGGAAGTAATCGTTATTTTTTTAATAGTTAAAAGTAAGCGAGCCGTAACTTATATTCAAATAAAAGGATTATTTGTCACGAAATTTTTTTATTTGAAAATTTTTATTTTTTTATCGTGTCAGCAAAATTCATTTTATGATTGCGAGGTCTAATCACTCCGAAGGATAACATTTTTACTTGATTCAAGACTATATTATCTTCGATCAATACAAGTGAATTCTTTATTCAAAAACTATTTTCTTTAACAAACAATAATTTTATTTCATTTTAAGAATTATTAATTGTTGATTCAAGAACAAACTTTTTTATTTATAATATTATAAGTTTAAGTCAGAAAAAACCTTTAAAGTAAAAATATTTGTATTTCTCTATTTGCCGAAAAATATTTGTTTACACAGAGAATAGCAAAAATACAAAAATTTATATGCTTAAAACAAGTAAAATAATATCTTAATTCAAGAGTCGCGCAATACTTGCAACAAATCGGTAATATCTTGAACCAACCCGCATGAAGATTAGATTAGATTAGATTAATTTATTATTATGCCAAAGCCAATTTGGCCAGATGGCAATATTCAAAAATTAAGTACATAAATTTGTTTAACAGTTAATTATACAATGATTATTTGCTATACCTAAATAATAACAAGATTAATATAATAAGTATTTATAAATATTAACGATTTTACATATTAAGTAACAATGTTAAAAATAAGAGTTAAGTTCTGATAATAGTATACAAATAAAACGATTTAACCAAATATAGTGAATAAGACAATAGAGATTAAATATCCAGATTAAATAAGTAATCGAACAGTTTATTCTTGAAGATTTCTAGGCTATATAGACGAGTTAACAATATCAACTGGAAGTTCGTCCCAAAGACGTATGACCGTTACAACAAAAGAATATTCATAATAAGTTGTAGCAAAGTTCGGCATTTTGAAACTACTGTTTTTCTTTGCTGCTAATCTTTCAGAATGCCTAACAGTAAGATCTTCACAGAATAAATCTTATCAGAATAAATCTGATAAGGACATTTTCGATTGAAAATCAAATTTTCTACAAAAAAGCTCTCATAACTTTTACATATTTTTCATATTAACAGTCTAATTATTAGCAATTTTTTAAACTCCTTATTTTTTAGACGGTGATTTTTTAACATTTTGATGTAGCAATAGTCTACTTATAAATTATTTGAATGATTAAAACCAAAATATTATACCTTTATTAGATATTAAATGGTATTGTAAAATAACAATAAATTTTGAACTAATTGTTTTTTCGTAAAAAAAAAAATTATTTATCCTAAAGTGTCAAATTTCGGGACCTTTATCAAAAACTCAAGATCTCAGCTGTCAGTGCGATAAAAATCCACCCGTGTCCCCGTGAACACCTCGGTGGTGTCGGGCCTAAAGTGTCAATATATATATACTTTTTTTTTTTTACCCAGTAGAACACGGATTTGCAGACGGTATAGACAAGGGCTGTACAATTTTTCTAAAATGTCTGGTACACACGCGAATTGTTAACGCTCGAACGCCCCTGATTGTATTAGAGCGCAGTGATGTGAGTGATCCTATCACAAATACACACCCACACTCACACCCTCCATAATATCTATACACATCACAATACAATTGGCCCGAAATTTTGTGGTGGTATATATATTTAGCGGACTAGTTTCTGTCTGGACACCGAGAATGGAACTCTGGACTAAACTTGCAACACCAGCAATAGCACGCGTGTCATTTCATCTCTCTGTCTTTTGAGCCTCACCCCTCGCCACCCCTCCCAAACCCGGTCTTGTTCCCGCTCGCGGACGGGGTAACCCAAATCTGTTTTCCACATCGCTGCTTTTATGAAAAGATATCTACCACTCATATCATATTAAGTGACGTGTTTGACGGACCGAACCGCGGAGATACGGATTTTAAATCTATCTCTATAGGTATACTGATGGACGGTGAATTTAAATTATCTGAGTATTAATACACGCCGTGTTTGGCTCTGTTAAATTGTGTCATTGCCGCGGATTTTCGGGTTTGGTTATGAGTTACGATGAATTTAGGGGTCGAGAGGTCATTCAGGTGATCGAAAATTATTTTATTAATTAATTTGAGAATTTTAGATTTTTTTTTT